CCCACTCTCTATATATATATATATATATATATATATATATATATAGATCTGATAGAATTACGAGGCCAAGCTTTCCTCTCCCTTACCCCCTCTTCCCCGACAATCGGCTGCAAATATTGGATTCTGTGGAAGTGAGGGATTACTGGCGTCCGGAGAATCGAAATTGAATGGAAGCCTCGCCGGAACGACGTTTTTTTTCCCCGGAGGAGAACCGAAAACGAAGTTCATTAGCGATGTCGACGGCCTCGAGCCGCCTTCGAGTTCTTTTGTGCTCCGTTCTCTTGCTTGGAAGCAGGAGGGGGGGGGGAGGGGGGGGGGGGTTTGAGGGGGTTGAGTGCACTTGTCTGTGATTGGGTGCACTTGTCTGTGATCGTAGAAAAAAAAGGAAAAATAAATTCATTTTCGGAAATGTAAGAAAATGATATCTTCGAAGAAATAAAAAAAAAAGATAATAAATATGGTTCTGAAAATGATTTTTAAAAAATAATTTAAACATGATTTTAAAAAATAATTTAAACATGATTAAAAAAAAAAATTTAAACATGATTTAAAAAAATAATTTAAAAAATGGTAAAAAAATTGATAAGAAATGATATCCCTTAAACGATAAATGATATCCCTAAATGATGTCCTTGACTCAAGGCCAGGGGCAACCAGATGCGAGAAATATTCGACTCGATATCTGCAGGTCCTTCTAATCGGGCCAGATGGAACGGAGCAGATCACGAACGAGACGGATAGAGCATGTAAGAGGGAATGAAAGTCGGGCGAGAGGAATTAAGCAGATCTGCCTCGACGGATTATGAGAAATGGCTCTCGATTAAGAGTTGACCGATTAAGGAGGAGGTGAGAGATGCAGGGTGGGGTCCGTTTTCGGTCCCGGTCTGGCTCCTCTCGAGAATTTCGTTGAATTTCATCGACTTGGGGTCGGAGAGGCCCCTGGTGCGTGTTGCACGAAGCTCCCGAGTTAATGAGGATTCGGTCCCCCGACGCAGTTCTTTTCTTCCCCTGCCGATCTTCCCCCGGACGAGGGGGGAGATCTCGCTGTCAAAGCCGGTGCTTCCCGATGTCGCCCTCCTTCGTGGCCGCCTTCCTTCATGGCCGCCTTCCTCTCTCTGTCGTTTAGGGACGGGGGAAGGGCCGGAGGGATTTGCGAGGCTTGCACTGGGAGGCCGAGCACGTCCTATCGGTACGACATGGACCGGTATCGCAACTCGGTGGATCTCGGGATGTCGAACCGGGATATCGCCTCCTTTCCGCCCCCGCTCGTAACCGCCAGGTATTTTTTTCCGGACTGCTCTCGAGATCCTGGGTACTCTACTTCGGTTGGATTTGTGATGATTGAGATGGTAGATTAAATTGTTAAGGTTGTGAGGGCTCATTGGATGCTTTCTCGCTGTCCCAAATTTCAGAACTACTCATAGTTCCTTTGCATGATATTGGCTATTGGCAGATACTATATTAATTTTTAAAAGTCATATTTAAATAACTAACTTGATTTATTGCTTGTACTACAGCCCGGACGTACCAAAGCTGTCCCCGCCGGAGACCTAGAAGATCCTGGCTTCTACCAACGGGAATCTAAAACCGGTGAAGTCCTCCCGTCCAACGCAAGGGTGCTCATCGCTACCTTCAACGTGCTCCTAACTCGGCATCATCAGTGCAGCCCTGATTCCGAAGGGCACCTGTAGGGGGACCTTTGTGCACGATGTCGAACTTTGTCATATCCGGTGACGCATTCGTTTTGAGCGGACACTCGGACAGGTGCCAAAAAAAAAAAAGAATGATCTAGTCCTTTAGATTTCAAAGGCACATGGTGTATATCCGTTACACATACGGTTTTCTCACGTCTCCTGATCTCATTCAGTCCTTTTATGAATTTGATAGCTTTATGAATTTGGTGAGAGCAATATTACAGCCAGTGATTTTGGGATTTGCCCAAGTGCAAAAGGATTATATTTTGGCAAATGAGATGAATTTGTCCATTTTAAGGGATGGAATAGGTTTTGCTTGATAATAGATTCAGAGAACACGAATGGCACATGATCGCACTGTTGAGCACAATGTGACTCATTGGTGCTTCAAGAATCTCTGCCATGGTACCTGAATGACTGGCACAGTATTTGCCATATTATTCATGATGCTCACATCTCAGAAAAAAAAGTGAATTCCTGCATTCCTTAATTGATGCTGCTCATCTGCTACACTGTGATAGTTGTGCACACTTCCTTTTGATTTGATGACACTGTTGAAGTAGACCCACACAGCAAAAGGTCTGAACAGTTCAAATTTTACTGTCTAAATGTTTTCCTTGTCACCACTTTGCATCATTTCTCTCTGGATCACCTTCCCGGAGGACAATATGCGATCGTGTCCGACCCATGGTACACGCACCGATCTGTTTGTAGTCCCCCATGTCTGTCTTCACTGCTGGTCAATACTGAATAAAGCACATGGAATCGAATGTAGCATCTTACACCGACTCTGCGATGTACTGAAATGTATTCTGAATGAAAACAAGACACAAAATTGAACATTTTGATCTCAGCCGGGAGACATCAACTTCGCTTCAGCCGCTGAATTACGGCATCGTAACACTCCTCTATTTCCTTGTACATTTGTTTGATGAGTTCAACCTGCTGCTCCTGAGTCATCTGAGTTTCATCTGTGCTGATACCTGCTCGCCTTGCAGCACCTCCCCTCTTCTGATTCATCTGCAAAGAGATTCAACCAGATTCTTCTAATGATCCTCATTTTAATATTGCACTAATAATTCAAAACTCTGCTGTTGCTATTTCCATTAATACAAGGAACACTATAAATTTTCCCAGAAGATATTTCACCTTGAAAGGGGCATATAACCTCCTCTTGATTTCGATGCGGTACTGACGATACTCTTCCTTGTCGGATCGGTTGGTGAACAACAGTCGAAGGATCTCGTACGACCTTCGAACGTGATCCTGTGAACAGAACCAACAAGAAATTTCCATTAACCCTTTCGCACTCAGCCTGTTTTCCAAGTACCTGGCCTAAAACACTCTCTGGTCAGGAACTACATCACATATGTACCTTTTGCAGTTAGCACCTGTGTTTAGGGAAGCATTTTGAGCCATTTATGAAACTAAAGAACAAAAACAACCTTTGAGCCATTTATGTAACTAAAAGAGCATGATTTAGACAGGACGGGGTTAAGCCCAGTGTTACAATAAAAACTGAATTGTTATCACAGAACAACAATATTTGGATGCATAACAGATGTGAGATGACTTTCCATGGCATCTCCTGAGTGCCATATGACTAAAGGAGATGGGAGAGGGCCATCACAGTCTTAACTCTGGTTTCGTTTGGTAATTTCTTCACTCTATGAAGGTATCAAACACAACAGCTAAAACTCACGCTGTCGTGCAATCTAACCTTCACGTTGAGATGTACGTAAAAAGTAAAAGAACCTTGTGCATGAGGAAACTTTTCCGTGCCTCTTCAACCATTTCAGGGGAGAAACCCTGTTTCACCTTCTCTTTGGAAAAGGCTGGGAGTGTGATGCACTTCCTGCAGTTAATGACATCCATGAGAGCTTCAAATTCATCTGAAGGATCCTCCACTAAAAAAATACGCACCATAAAAGTGTAAAGATGCATGAGCAACCAGCCTCTAATGTACTAGCAACTGGTCTCCAGGTTTACAAACCTGTGATGTCAAGAACGTTTGAAGATCCTAAGTAGTGATTGTAAATACTTTCAACGAGGTGTCTTCCCAATCCCATTTTCTGAAACGGAGGTAGAACGAGCACTTGGCTGATGCGGGGTCGAATCTTCTCGGGGTAAGCATAATATTCATAGACTGTGCCATAGCCAGCAATTGCATATCGAACACCATCACCAGGATTGTACTTCTCAAATCTGGAATTTAAAGAATGCAAGATGTGGAACACTGGTACTCATCTTCATCAAATACATCAAGAAAAGATTGTGGGGCATATGACTGACACCAGGAAGAAATGCCACCGAGGATCACTGGTATCGATGAAGCTTGCACCATCGACGAACCACATGAGGAATGCTTGCAGGCGTTCATGGTAGGGCAGGAAGTTGGGCTCATGGGTATCACAGCTGTAGTATTCAAATGTCTGACCTGAAAAAAGAGTGAAAAATGTATGATCTCAGGCAGAATGGATAAATGGGAATTTGCAGATACTATATTGTACTATTCCTTACCTGAGGAAAGCTCCAAGCGATCAATCAAAGAACCAAATGGCTTGAAAGTAACATCCTCCTGGATAGCTGCCTTGAAGTGGCCCAAATCTTTGAGGTAACCTTTAGGAATGATTTCAAGAAGTGGCTTCTCAACATCATCAGCCTATAACAACAACAGAAAACACCACAGTTGAGGGTATCAATACTTTCTCTTCTGATAATACACTGGAAAATATCATAATGAAATCAAAGCAGGGATATAAATATTTTCTGCCAAAGGTAATGGAAAAAGATATCCTTTGAAAACTCAGTAAAAAATTTTTCAGAAAATCACTCCAACCAAAAACCTTATTGGTCTAAGCTTTTGTGACGACATTTAAATCAGGAAAAAATACTGCTGGGTTTCTATCTACAAATAAAAAGTATGCATATTAGGGACAATGTTATTTATTTCCTTCTGAAATTCTACTTGCCTTGCTTATCACTTACCACAACACCATCACAGAGATCAGGGGTGACTTTGGAAGAATACTCAATGCCAATGTAGGTTGTCAGACGGCAGGCACTGTAGAAAAGTTTGATCTTGAGGTCCTTGTAGCCAAAGATAACCTCCCTAGGAAAAAATTTAAAAGAAACCATGGTTGAAACATGTCAAAACATAACCCTACTGCATGGTTCACTTTCTTCCTGTAAAAGCAATAGATAGGCCAATCAGTAAACTGAGATCCATGAAGAATGCATATGGAGGTAGAACTCCATGGGTGGAATTTAATCTGAGAAAATTAGTCCTACTTGTCTTGAGTCTTGACTCCAATTCAGGATAGGTACCAATAAAGAAACACTCCAAGGAAGGAAACGAAAACCCCCATTTCATAGTATTAGCACCATGGACCTAGCCACAAAAGAAGGAATTCAACCTAGTCAAGGCCTAAATGCACACGAGAGCTTCATGACTGAGGCCAATCCGATCAGTTGAGTTGTTCAATGGCACATTTTTACATATAGCTGGACCAAGATCCTGGCTATCCTATGATCACCTAACCTCTTGAGTCCTGAAAATAGTGTATATGCAAAGGTGCACCAACAAGGTCTGCTATTCAAGATTCAGTTAGGGGCATCAAGAGGTGTATCTGTCCTTAGAAAATTCCCTCTTGAAAAGCCTAGGTTCCGTGCTTTAATTAGCCTCAATGTATTCCGTGGAAATTATGTTTTCCAACGAATTTAAAACACAACTGAATTGGCCTGAAACTGTAGGGAAAATGTACTCACTTCTCTCCGTAGACTTGATGGCACATCTCAGCCTTGAATGTTGTGCTCTCATCCTCAACCTCCGAAGCATCTCGAACTAGGAGTAACAAAGTTGTCCTTTTGAAGCATGAAGCATTACGTATTTAGGCCTAAGTTCTGACGGGAAAGAGATCCAAGACGCTCACCTAACTTGAGTTCAATTACTTGTGGCCCATCAGCGATGAAAGGCGACAGCTGATCCCGCATTTTATCAGCCATCAACAGGGGAAACAAACGCGGAGATCTGTGAGGGAAGCTACGCAGGCTTCAGAAGTGGGTATATGAGTCTATGAGTATGGTAACGGAAGATTCACGAACTGGCTTTTTCTCCCATCAGAATCGTTCACGGAAATATAGGAAACGTTTCCCTCGCTTTTCGTGCGACCACCAGTATGGGCCACGTAGCAGACGACACTTTCAGCAAGGTTGCTATATACGGAATCTTCCTATCGGAAGACAGGAACGACATCTTATAATTGGTATAATCTTTTAGGAAGATACATACTTGAAGTTCATGCAAATAGTAAATCAAATATATAACTCGTTCGCTATGGGGAAAGTGATGGAGTTAGTGGTGGGAAGATATCAAAGCTTCGCGGAAGCAACACTCAACACTGAGTAGCCCTTAGCGTGTATTACGCCCACAAAACGTCTTTCCCCCAGGGTATGAGGGCGAAAATAGCCCATTAGTGCTAAAAATGGTAACCCAATTTATAAAAGTATACAATCTCTGTAAATTGTTGGGAGTCAAATCCACCAGGGATCAGGATGAAGCTGGAAAGAAAGGTTTAAAAAGGGGTGGGAATGAGACTGAGTCGGTTCTCAAGGTGGTTCGCAGATGTCGCTTCTGGCAACCGTCCTCCATTCTCTTCCTGCCTCTGCACCTGTTCAGTTCTGAGTTCTTGAATTCCTGGGTTATCTTCCATATCATATGGGAGCTTGTTTGTAGTACTAAAAAATGTTAAAGAGAATGTTTTGTAATTCAGGTTTACTATCACTTGTACAAGCGCAGTTCGATGGTTTATTATGTGCGGCTTTAGGGTAGGCTCTTAAACATGTGATAAGTCGCGGCAACCATTCGGCTTGAGGTGAAGCTTAGGCTTACGTTAGGCCTAAGAAACGAATTTATTGAAACCTTTTACCAGAAGTATGAGCCATAATCTTATTGGAACAAATAAATGTAAGTTAACCGAATCCACTTCAGGTGGTATAGGCCTACTGAGTCTTGTCCAGTAGCTTGAACGACTTGAATAAGAATCAAGGAATGGGAACACCTACTGGGCATTTCTGGATTTTCCCCAAGACTTGCGATAGTATGTGCCATTATAAAAGTTGAGCATTATCGATAAATGTTACAATTTCCAGATTGAATTCATACCCCTTCCCTATAGTCCTCCCTCACCCCTATCCTATATAGAGAATGGGTAAAACACAAATTTACAGAAGTTCCACTTCATCAGGTGATAGACATAACCACCCTTATGTGAGATGTCAGTACCTGGAATCTATGGAGGTACTCCTACAGGGGGGTACAAATTTATTCCAGGAACAGTGTATGTGCTATCTGTAGCAGCTCTTAGACTCCTTGATGAAGCCTCTTGAGAAGCTAGTGGATGATGGCCACTTCAGATTGAGTCTCATTTTTCATATTCATAGACTTCGCAAAGGGGAATCTCTTGGCTCATAATCTTTCCTCTCATCTTTCCTCTCTAACTTCCTAAGTGCTAAATCTAATACTCTAATATTATTCTTAACAATTCGTACCTTAACTTGAAAACATGCATATGAATGATTTTGATTTCCCCCCAACATTCACCATCAATTCAGAAAGTCACATGCATGCATTTCTTAATGAAAGGAGTATAATGTGTGTATAAATATATTTCATTTTGTAGCCATCCTATGGAAAAAGCACACGTACATTAGATGTGGACAATTCATGCGTGGAGTATGCCAAATGTTTTTATTATATCTGTTTTTTCATTTGTGAATCTTATGGCATATAAATCTAGGCATGGCTATATATATCACAACATTTAAAAAATCCATGTGACTGACTTGTCATGTATATTAACTTGAAATTGGTAGGTACCTCATGGTACAAGTGTATCTCTCTAGCCCACTGGATGGAAGTAGTTGTTTGCATCATAGCATGCTTTGAAATGATTTAGCATCATCTCTTATGCGTGTTGGCAGTGTAGGTCTAGAATCCTATCCTGGGAAAAAACCAGAGCATCATAATATCAGACAACACCAGTTAGGTTGGTAGAAAGACACTTTTTTGTGCTGGTTTTGCAGTTCTGTGTACGTGTGTATGGTACTCTACGCCATGCATGGCAGAATGCATGTATATACAGGTGTGGGTATTCTCAACTCAACAAAACATATGGCTGCATGCATATGCCATATATTCATGTTTACACTTTGCCATCCATGACCTCATGTATATACATGAGCCAGTGTATGACATTTTCACATGATGCCCTCAAAGTTCATCAGCAATGAAAGAAAAACCATTGTAAACTATGGTTGTGAAATTACAACTGGGTACTTACCCTACCCATATCTTAATATTTGAGACAACCCCATGACAATTTTCTTCCAGGATAAGGCGGCCTGCTGAAAAATTTCTTAAATACAATAACCTTTCTCATGTTGAACTTTTGGAGGAATTGTGCCAAGCACAGATTTCACTTTTTATAATGTCTTGAGAACTTGTAGAAAGCAACTGGAGGAGAAAAGGAATGTTAGAGATCATTTTAAAGGCCTGTTGCAATACCCCTTGGGTGTCCATTCCAATCAAGAGTTGGTATTTTTTTTACATTACCTATGTGAATGCATGATAGGCAGTCACATTACATGCTTTGTTGCAATGTGAAGAGGTTAATCTCTGGGTTCCCATATATAAGAGGTTGTGCCCCTGAGTCTTTCAGTTGATTCATTTCGTTCTGGTATTTCCATACTTCCATGATTAAGCTGAATTTGTTGGATACATTGGATGAAGTAGATCTAGAAAAGGATGTAGTTGTCATGGACCATGACATTTACCAACTAAAACTGGAAACATTCATAAGTGCAACGGCTGAAGCACCCGCTTCGGTGGGAACGTTTTATTTAGGAAAAATGTTGGGTTTTTCTCACTGTTCCAGGACGTGTATTCTTTTTTTTTCATGTGTGCAAAAAATGTATAACAATCCATTCAGAAATGCGATAGAATCCCCATAATTCATTCCGAAACACGACGGATGAAAGGTAAAATGCCTTTCGAGTCGATTTTGTTGGAATGAGCGTCTCGGCACGAACTCCGCGATGGGGGCGAGGGTGAGAGAAAAGTTTCTGCTGTTTGCTCTTCCCCGATGGCTTGGCCAGGATCAGCGGTTAAAGGGAGGTGGAAAGAGCCGGCACGTCGCAGTCTCGTGGGAAAAGTCATTCTCGTATCACGTTTCTATCACTTCCGTATTTTTTTCCGACTTTTGGCGGAAACTCATAGCGGTCCCGCCTTTCGCGTCGCGTCGAAAACTTGCCAAAGGTGCAGCCTCGTGTTTATGGTGGCAGCAGACCAAAAAGCCCTGAGTTCTCCTGGTTGGAATCGGATCACGGCGTACAAGATACGATGGGATCCGACCGGGTCGATGCCGGTTGCATGCAGTTGATAAGAGATCTGCCCTTCGTGTTAAATCGGAATTTTAGATCCCGCCCGACCGCTTTGAAGTGCTCGCACGAGGCGATCTCATTCAAATCTCGGATAAATTGCACGTTGATGAAGACGCGGAAGCGACGAGGAAGATAACGAGCAGCTCAATGCCGAGCGGAAGAAAGAAATTACTTCGCAATCATTCCTAATTATATTTCATGCAACAACAATTCTGCATTTCCGCGTGTTTCAACGCACCACGAAGGGGGGAAAGCCGGTTTTCACCCCATGCCAAAGACCCTCGCATCGAAATTGAGGGCGACCCGATTCCACGCACGTATTGCAGTGCGGCGGGAATAAACTCGGAATCGCATGGAAACCTTCGCCTCTTTTTGTGTTCTTGTATTTTTTTTTTTCCTTTTGTTTTTCCTTAGACCCATATGCAGAAACCTTAATTAGGCGAGTTAAAAGGGCTTGTTTGTGAAAATGATCCCGTTTGCTCCGAAGAAGTCCATGAATTTGTAAAGGACATTCAAGTGGTTTCAACGTTTGACCCTTAGTCGTGAAATTTTTGGAGTTTGTTAAAGTTCGAGTATTTTTTGTTGCAATGAAAACTTCATTCGTGCCATTCCACTTGGTCTATAATTCTAATCGGATTGGCAGTCCTAAAATTGTCCAAATGTGTCAAAGAGAATGTGAAGTGGAATCGTTCCAATAAATATAATTATGCATAAATAAGTGTATAAATTCATTCATTCATTCATTCTCTTGTTAAAGCCCGGCTTGAAAATGTTAGCCACCTTGACCTAAAAACGAAGTAAGGAATCTTGAGGCAGATTGTTGCCAATCAAATTGAAGCCCCTTGGTGCTGTTGTCAGTATTTTTCGTGCATCATATTCCAGGACTGAGTCAGAGAATAATTTCTCTCGTTATGCTAATTGCATCATGAATGGCAGATTAAAAAATTATCACTACCATCTCTTTAAGGAACTTAAGAAATTGTTTAGGCTGTACTATGGCAGTTATATTTAGTGTATCCTGTCTGAATCCCCTCAGGTGACTCATTGGAGATGAATGGGATGTGTGCCTGAGAATGAGATGCTTGTTTGACTTTTGACATGAGAACAAACCCTTTTGGAGCAGCTTGGACTTCCATTTTCGATCAAGGCTTCATTGTGATCTAGAAACTTAATTGTGTGCATGTGACACATTTTGCCAGTGTCATTTTTGTCATGGCGTCCCTGGACGAGTTTTATGAGCGAATGCAAAGGACCAACGATACAAAGTCGAAGTTGACTTTGAGTTCAGACATTGCTTCGTACCTGTCTGTGCCATCCAGTTCGGTGGAATGTGAGGATCTTGGCCTTTTTGTTGATGAAGTGGCTTCCTGGTTAAACATCAGCAACTTCAAAGTGAGTTTCTTTCGGGCATCCTGATCGGTGTAGTGTTAACTCTCGTTGCATGCATAAGTACATATTTAAGTGTCTGCACTTGCCTAATGAGGGGGGATCTTTCATTGCAGCTGTGCCAAACTGCACTCGAGATATTGAATCTCTTGGTTTTGAGGTTAAGAGATGATTTCCGCCCTTACCTGTCTTCACTCCTCCCTCAAATAGTCGACAGACTAGGTAAGGTCGCTGCTCACATATGAAAAAGTTCATTTCTTGTCTTTCTCTGAATAAATTCTCTCTATTGTTACCCACTTCTGCTGTGAATGGCTCTTGAGTTTTTATCTCCTGTCGCAAATGATTCCCAGAAGTGGTATGTGTTAATATCAGTTGAAGATAGTTGTTTAGATGCTTCCTGTGTTTACATTTGTTAGGGAAAACAAAGATTGAGTCAATGAGTTTTTCTTGGTGCACATCCCCCTTTTGTTTCCTTCAGGAGACCAAAAGGATGTGGTTCGAAGTGCAGCCCAGACGCTCCTCAGCAGCCTCATGGAGCACACCAGTAGCCCTCAGGTGATGCTGGAGAAGATGAACAACAGCTTCAGCCACAAGAATGGAAAAATCAGAGAAGAGCTCCTTGTTTGTCTCCAGAATGCACTCAATCGGTATGATTTTTTATTGACTGGTGCTGTCTAGATTAATTTGTTTATGTACAAAATGAATGAGTCAAGGCACGGTTATGTGATTGTTTTTAAGTTTATTTATTGGAAATTATAAGCAGTTCTCTTTATTGTGTCTTCATGCTATTTCATGGCAATTCAGTTAGATTGCATCAGGAGAAGTTAAAGTGGCTGATAGTGTTAACTGTTTCATTGAGTTTGTCAGAATGTGTTAGTAGTTCGTATCTTTTGGCTCCTGCAGATTTGGTTCCTCAGCCTTGTCATTATCAAAGTTGGTCCCAGCCATAATCAAGCTTCTTGGTGATCCCGCCGCACCGGTTCGTGAAGCCGCGTTGATGACGCTCATTGTGATGTACCGCCATGTTGGAGAACGCCTTCGACTAGATCTCACTCGTAAACACAACGTTCCTCCGGCCAAGTAAGTTTCTGGTCTTATCGGGTATTATCTGGTTCAATTAAGCTGTGCTGTTTGTTAGTCCCTGATAAGAAGTAGGTGTAAGATTGCACTACCAACAAGAGATGCTGATAATGATTGTGCTTGAAGCATACTATTTATCATCATCCATTGTTGTTTCTGTTACATGTTGGCTGAATAATGTTGCTCTTTCTTTGTTAATCAATGTCAAGCCCATGCTGGCATAGCAACTAAGATCTGATGCAAGTTTGATTGCTTGTGGTGTAGTTTGATTAGTTGGGGTTTTTTTGGGAACATTCAAAATGTTTATGAGTTAGTCTCAGCCAGAATCCACTTTTGAGAATCCTTTAAGGAGCATGTGTAGCAATTTATCTCTAACAAATGAGTTTCCCAACACACCTTTGTGATTTCATCAATTTTTTAGTTCCATTGGATGAAAATGATGCTCTATGCTGGAAATCTTTTTTTAGGATGCAGTTGCTCAATGCAAAATTTGATGAAGAGAAAGCAAGTGGGAACCTCATGCCCACAGCCACTCTCTCCCTTCAAGCACAGAATGGTGAGTACTATGCTGCTCTTCTGCCTCTGCTGCTTGCCTTCCATGGGCATCATCAGTTGGGTCTTTTTGGATATTTTTGCATATGGAGGGATGCCACAGCCTTCTGGAAAATAATTATTAGGTGGGGAGAAGGATTTGTCAAAGAAATAAGACAGATGTGTGAAGAACATAGCATGCTTTAACTCAGGGGTTGGGTAGAAAGCTACAGACTTTGAAAGACCCAGTTGAATATTATGTTTTTTAGACTGTGAAGGTATGTATTCATGTCACTCCCAGCACCAGAATTAGACAATAGGCAATGTGCTGGGAGAAGAAGGTAACAGAAGGAAGAATCAGGAAAGGAAGAAACTGGGTGTGCATGTGGGAGAAGATGGAGGGAGAAAGTGTAGTATGCCCGTGTGTGACAGGGTGTAGGCCTCCCTCTCTTGAAATTCCCCCGAGGCCTCGTTCTCATTTCAATTGAGGGAGAAGATGGGATCGGCATGATCATGTGAAAGGGGATGGAATAACACTTGTCAGGTTCTAGTTTCTCTCCCCGCTTTCTCAATGGATGAGTGGTGGTAGTGACCGGTGTCAAGGCCAACTTCTCATCTGGCTCCCTCGTTAAATAGCACGAAGCGATCACCAGAATTCCGATAGGCCCACAGCTCCACGGGCGAGTGTGGGTGTGAGTGGGCGTGGAGGATGAGAGACATCTAGCAGGTCCATGGTGCGACTGTGTTGACCGCGAGGGCGCCGAGATGGCGGGGTGGGACTTGGCCCTTGTTTCGGTGTCACGTGTCGGTCGGTTGCGAACATGTGACACGTTTGATGCATGTTTTCCAGTATGTGGTCCGTTTTCATCCAAATCTTCGTTTACTTGTCGGTCGTCTGATCCTTTTCAGGCCTCGAATGACATGGGCTATTGTCTTGACGGGAACAAGCCTCGTGTCAAGGTTGTGTCTCTCGAGCGTATCGTGAATGTGCTTTGAAATGAAAGATTATCTTCCCTGATATGGGTGGGAGAAAAGAACATCTTTTCGATCGGAGGCTGCTGCGCACCTTCCGGAAAAAAAAAAAAAAACATTTAGACGTGGATTGATAGATGAGTCCTGCTGAAAAAAGCACGGAAGAGAGTCATCGTTCCCCTGCCCCGAGGATAGAGCTAGCAAAGATTTATTTTTTCCGTGTTTGCTCCCGACCTAAGCTTACACGAATACCGGAAGTTTCTAGACCGTTCCTCGCTCACTTTGTCTTCCTCGTAAAGCGGCCGTGTTTTCATCGGTGAACTGTTCACCTGCTGTAATGGCCATTGATTAAACCGTAGAGAATGGGACATGACGGGTGCATGTTGATATTAATCGGTCACGATATTTACCGCCCAGGTATTGATTCGGATTTCGGAATTGGTCTGACTGGCGCCAGTCCTTTTTTATTGGCCAGTCCTCGGTCCGGCGGAAGTACTGGAACAGGTGGAACGATCCTTCATTTGCCTGGTAAGCTTTATCTCTTAAAAGCATACTGCTTTTTGTCTCTGGAAGCTGGGAATAGAAGGGCTCTGTTTTGGCAGTCACAATGACGAATTCTACGTAATATACAAATTTAGTATCCATAATCTGCGAGCCTGTCTTGCTCTCATCATCATCTCATGCCGATGGTTCCCCCGTTTCCCCTTTTTCCACCCCCGCATTAAATGAGGCCAAGGAGAAGGAAAAAGAAATGTAGATAGGGGCAATGCCGTTTTTCCGTGAGCATCGCCGATCCGATGGCTATTCGGGGCCAATAAGGAAGTGGAAGGAGCTGGGAACTGGCCTCTGACATGCCAACTCTCCCGGGCCTCGTTTCTTCAATGGGGATTCCGAATGAAAAAGAGCAAAGAGGAAGGAAGGAAGTAAGTCAGAGAGGCAAACAATGCGAGATCAATTACCTTCGATCGTCGGGTTTGATATGGCCGAGACCTCGGCATGCATTCGAAATCAGCCTGTCAAGTCAGGAGTCATCTTCATCTCTTCTTGTTTACCTCGTCTTTCGTGGAGGGGTTTCCATGGAAACGAGCGAAAGATTATGAATGGGGTGGTTTCCTGACGGATCTCCCCCCTTCTTAGTGATGCGAGGGAGTATAATCACGCCTGGGAAAGGCTCGTGTTACCTTCCTCATGCCAAGTAATGATGCCACACAGAGGATGCTGTTATGTTTATGACTGTGGCGCTGCCAGGATCGATGGAGTTTCAAGTTCATATTTCAAAGTCTTGCGGAGCACCTACATCGTCGAACGACATCGATTGAGCCGTCCATCCGTCAAATCAGGTTCATCCAGCCGTGAGATGAGGCCTTCTTATATCAGCAGCTGGCGTTGTAAATCTCCCCTACACCCCACACACAGTGATGAATGATTGTGTCTGATGGGGAAATTCATGCAAGGACCAAGCATCTGCTCTCATTGTTAATATTGAGACCGCGATTTATTGGATTCCCTGGATTGGGGAGTCGGGAAACAATGACGAGAGGGCTATTGAATGCGATTATACTTCTTCCGCATCCATGATGGATTTCTCCCTTAACCGATCGATCCAGGGCTTGCAGGAACCTGGGAGCTGCAGGAGCTGGTAGAGCGGACGACGAGCGTGACGTCATGATGCAGAGGGGGGGAAGGGAATGAAGGGATGGCTGTTGGTCGGGATGGGTGAGCATGAGCTCAGTTGCTCGCGTGGCATGGGAGGATGCGTTTGCTTCCCTTGGGTTTTGCGCCCGTATGCCCCCGAATGCGGTGGTTCTCACGATTCCTCCGCGTCATTGTGACTGTGCACGAAGTCGTGTCTTTTCTCCGCCCGATGTTCTTGTATTCGAGCTCGATGCTTGCTGCGCCCGGTCGGTGTCTGTTGCTGTGGAATGGCGAGGCGAGATGGTATCGTTTGGTGGGATGGAAAGTGTCGGCGTTTTACTTTCGTGTTATCGGCGTTTTTTTCACCATGCTCTCACATGATTTCAGCCGATAAGGAGGGGAGGAAACAGCGGCGCAGTTTTAAAAATAGAGGAGACGCAATTCCAGAATTAATTCATACGCGAAGAATGGCTTTTCGGGTTAGCTTTTGCGAAACAATAAGATGGCATCCAAGTCATCGCTATCTTCCTCATTATAGGGAAAGTCATGGGTGGACTAGAGATTCGGCCAATTACTTCTCGGAGGGACAAACATGTATTCATATGACTGACGAAGGCGTGTATGAATGAGTGGGAGGAAGATTCACGTGACCCGAGGCGATGACCCCCCCCCCTCTTACTTTTTCTTTCCATCTCCTTTTCTATGCGTGGGTTGCGATTCGTTGAATATGCTCCTGGGACACCTGTGGACACGTGAAATATGTCGAGTTCATGTCAGCGCATTATATCCTGACCATGAGGCATATCAATGTGCGAGAGTGTTTTATCTCGACAGTGGCACGTCTCGGCAGGGTTTATTAAAGGGTGCTCTGGTAAGTTCATGCAGGTGTGTTTGTCCCACTCGAGCCACCTGGACCAGGCGGTAATAAAATGCAGTGCACTCCAATGGAAAAGATGAGAAGTACTTGAGATCCCCCAGCCAGTTTGTTGTTCGTCGAGGTGCCACGCCTCCCCGCTTTCTCAGCATCTGAATGGTTGCATAGGCATGAATTTATGAGACCCCGAGTACTGGTTATGTTCATGGTTGCAGGCTGCTCAATTGCCCGCATATCCGAGTCCTGTCAATCATTTTCTGTAATTATGAACCCCTGGAAGTGACACGTGTGCTTGACCAAGGAAATTGCGCTGTTCCTCCTCTTCTTCCTCTCCCACGGTTCCGCCATTTGGTGGCCCCTGCCAGCAATGGGGCGTTTGTTCTTCGGGAGAGGAGGGGGCTCGGTGGATGGGTTCCGTTTCGGTTACTCCTCGGTGGAAGGGTTGGGGTTTGTTTACACCGGCTGTTATAGAGAAGGGAAGGGAGGCCTTGGAGGCGGCGAGACGCGGTGTGACGTAAGAAGGGCAATGATGCAACGATGATCGGAAAAAGAACGGACCCAGGGCAGCATCTCCCTTTGCCTGTCTCTCCCTTCCCTCCCCTTGCACCATGTGTCGATTCTGTCGCTCGCCATTTTTTTTTTTACAACTCCCCTCACGTACACATGGACCGTGCTTCTGTGCGTGCCGAGCGTCTGCAATCTCTCCCTGTCTCCCGACCGAGACGTGTGTGTTATGTGTCAGTCTCGGTTCTCCCCCTAAATCCGGGGAATTTTACGACCCACCAGACCACGCTCGTTTTGCATGCACAAAGGATACATGCTGATTGAGATGAGAACGTGATCGTTGTTTCAATCACGTCGCCATCTCTTAAGGTCGTGATGGTGAATTAGGGTAAGACTCCCTCGAGTTGAAGTCCATGCTGAGGACTCGGTGAGGTTAACGACTCACGCGTTGTCCTTTTTTTTTTTCCTTTTCATGACATTCATTTCCCCCTCGTACCATTCCCATTTAAGCCATGTAAGATGTTCCTCCCCCGTTTTAGTGCCTTTCTCGCTTGTTGCGTTATACCGGATACGAGGGAGACTCGGCAGCACACGCCCTCACAATTCTTTTTTTGTCGCGATGAGGCTCCACCATACAATGGTCTTCATGTTGCAAGTTGCCTTTTTTTGTCTTCCAGACTTCTCCATCTTTTTTTTTTCTTCCTTCATTATGGTCATTGCCTCTCGACAGTAAAAGGACAGTCGGCGGCACTTTTTCCCCTCTCGTGGTTTCAATCTTGCGGTCTGTCCGTGGGAGAGGATCCCTGTCTCCGCTTCCGGAAGTCTGTCGTGTTTCACACGTGTTCCCCGAAATGCCCCGCGGAGAGGAAAGCACGTGCCATCGAAATCTGGACGGAGTCTGGGGTTCGGCGGTGGCGTAATGACAGGAAATGAGCGCGAAGTGGAATGGGATTGTGGCGGATCACCTTGGGAGGGGTTTCTTGCGTAACCTTGCTTCGCTAGGAACAGTTGTTGGCCCCCTTCTGATTTTTTTTCTTCCCTCCTTATCGGCTTCTACTGCTTATCGGACGCGGTACCATGTCGTATTGTCCCTCCTTCCTTCGGCAGGGTATTTGCTTCATCAGTGCTTCTGTGATCTGAGTGCATATCCTCGGGTGCTAGAGAAAGAGACTGTGATAGTCCGAGAAAGATGAAAAAAAAGTTTGTTTGACCCTTTGGAAGCGTGTGATGTGATGTGATGCGACGTGATGCCAGCCTCGGCGTCCCTGTTGACCGAGATGGACGAAGAAGAAGTGTCGGAGACACCCCGGAATAATATCGGTAGATGCCACTCCGTGTCGAAAGCCCCGGACCCGGAGGAGGTGTGGGGATCGGACCAGGAATGGATCCTCTTGTTCGATTCCCTGCTGAGGCACGCGGGGAAGAGAATCCGGGAGTGCGAGTGCCATCCGAGCCAGGGGTTCGATCCCCATCAGCGCCTTCTCTATGGTCAGTCGAGGAAAAAATGAATGAAAATAAAATGAAAAGGACCGGGGATCGAGTGGGAAATGTCAAGGTCAAGTACCGGAGGATACTGCTGGCCTTGGGTTCAATTTTATTTTTTCCCAGCTAGCTTGCTGTGGAGGTACGGAAATAAAGTGTAAAAAAAAATTCCCTAGGGGGTGAATGTAGCGAATCGGTTCGTTTCCGGGACGGGGATTCTGAAATGTCATTGTCACCTGGAGGTGGGACTGGGGATAATACTATGTATGCTGACGCAGCGATGGAGTTAGTGTGGAATGCAGGAAGTAGTTAACATGGATGGAATATGAAATCGTTTGGCAGAGTTCGGTGTGGCCCTTTTCAATCTGGAATCCTATTCGAAATAGGGCAGGTGTGGAAGGCGAGGGTGAAGAGAGTCGGTTCGGGTGGATCGTTAGGAAATCTCGACGTCAGCAACTATAAAGGTGTCAATTAAGGTTTCCACCTCGAAGTTGTGAACTTCACGGGTGTCGACCTGGGGCCTCGCTTCGTGAACACGAATAGAATGTTTTTTTTTTTATATGTGGACTTCGCCGCTGGATTTCCGTTTTTCCCCCCATTTTCTTCACTTTTTTTGTCTTCCTGCATTCCAGGGCGCCCGGAAGCAGCGAAGTTCTTTTCTGTGTAACGCCTTGCTTCAGGACTTCTCACTCCCCTCCTTCCTCTCCTGCTGATTGAATCGGGGAATGGGGTAGGGGCCTCAGTTCCTCATGGGAAATTTTCGTCTGAGGCGGTGGGGAGGTGGAAGTTGGGTTCACGGAATTCCGGGCGTTGGATGTTTCACTTTTTTTTTCAGCGATAAACGGAGGGGAGATCAAATAAACGGAACCAAATGGTGTTGGGATGTGGGTGCGTCTGAAGTGGCCCTCGTGCGTATCTCTTCTCTGTCTGTATGAGAATCGCCTCAATTCACGGGTGGTCTCGTAATTGGAGGGGGAAAAATAAAGGGAAAAAATAAACAAAAAAAAGTTGTCCTTGGGTCAAGATGTTTGATCACGCCCCATCCAGGAATGAAGTCAGGCTAATGGATTGTATTGGCGTTGAATGATCACGTTTTCCCCCTCCCATGCTGCCGCGTCGTGTGTTGAATCATCGTGGGCCGTGGAGTGCTCTTCAGAGGGGAAAAATCTTCGCCGTGGGCCGTTTCGCTGGGGCGACGGTGAAAGCGTGGATAATGATCCGTCCACTTTCGACATCTGTCGAGTTGGAATTTTTTATTTTCCTGAATTTGGTGGGATTTTCTGAGCTTTTTTTTTTTTACATAAATAGGAGAAATTGTAGGGTCTGGTGTGTACCTGAGCGCGTGATCGCAATGAGTTTGGCCTTGGAACAGGATCAGATGAATAGCCCTCATTACCATTTTTTCCCTTTCCGAGGAGGTTGATGGATGGGGCAAACGAAGCCTTTCGCCTGCAATTGTACCAAAAAGGCGATTCCCTTGCGGCACAGGCCTCTATTTAAAAAAAATATGAAGTCCCACCCTCTCTGCTGCAGTCCACTCACCCTAGATTTTCTTTTTGATGGATGGCTTCTCGGCCCCAGACACTTTCCTCCATGCTTGAAATGTCTTATTCACGGCTAAACTAGGAAATATCTATGGGAGAGAAAGGACGGGGGGGAAGAACAGCAGAAACGTCGTGGGCACTTGGGAAAACTTTGGATCGATTAATGCTCCATTCTCTCCAGGAGAGATACGGGGTACCTCACAAAGCTGACTGTTCTAATTTCATGTTCTTTTTGTTCTTGTCTGCAGGGAGAGGAGAGGATGAATGTGATAGAGCTTCGGTGAGTATGCCTCGACACGTCACTTCTTTTCTTTCACGTAGGGCTTTTGTAGATGGGTTATCTAATTCTACCTATGAGTGATGAGTCATTGGCGCGGATGAGTTTCTCCTTTCTGGTAAAAGGTCAGGGTTAGAGCCGTGCATGCCACTTCATCATCTTTTTTTCACCTCACTCCATGTGTGGATGAAATGATGTAGCAGGAAGAGTAAGAGTAGTCTCTTAGGTCTCCCCCTCTCATTCATGGTAATGAGAACCCTGACAGTGGATCTTTTCCCTTCTGGGAACGTGGAAGCAATTCCTGCGTTACGCAGCCTTAAGAGAGGCTTGAGATGGTGGCCTCAAGGAAGTAGCCCCTCTATCTCTAGTTTTTTTTTTTCTTTTTTACTACTGAGAAGGCATAGGGACCTCTTTCTTCCCTAAGAGGAAGACCTTCCCATCCTAGTCTGTTTGCTTTAACAGCTGCTCCCTTCCATTACCTTTCAGTCCCGGTCCTCCTTCCTCTCTTCCCCCTCCTTGTTATTCTTCCTCCTTTGCTTCCCCTGTAACAAGTCTGGGAACGAAAACAATCGCTTGATGGCCATTAAATAAATAAGGGACCGTTCTTGGAGTCGGGGCAACGTTCTCATTTTTTCCAAGTCAACTAATTTTTTTCTTACAGGAGGTAGATGGGAAAAAGTAGTTAACCACAAAAGCAGTAACATAAAAGGTGCCGGAGTCTCACAGTAAAAAAAAAAATTACAAGCTAATTTGATTTCGCAAGCGCGAAAAGCTCCTCTGACTCCACGAAAGTAAAGGAAAGGTCATTATATTTTCTCTCCAGCCCCCTGTAAAGAATTTCTGGCTACACCCCTGCGCTTTTATGCGCATTCATTGGTATTGAAATAGGAAAGATGAAAAATATCAGGGAGGATGGACATCCAGAGGTATCATTTATTTTCATGTTGGATAGGTCCGGAGCTTGGGTAGCAATGGGGGGAAGCGCGCCAGCAGTGCCCCGCCGGTTCGAAGGACTTCCATTCCGGGCCCCAAGGGTGCCTCGGCCGGGATGGAAACCCCCGCGCCCCCCGCAGGACCTAATGGTGGTTCTGGCATCTCCATTCCCACATCCTCGTGTGAGTTTTCACACCATTTTTCTCTTCTCCCCCCGACGCCTGACCTTCCTCGATCAGGGAACGGATTCTAACAGTGGTGGGGTGTGGATTTGATACGGATCCCAGTTCTGTACTTGATTAATCCAATGATTGCTTGGAATTCATGCATGCCTTCATTCGCCTAACAATGTTGTGGTGTTTTCGGGTCTGTGCAGCCAAATCGGTGACAAGAACAACTTCTCTCAGGAGACCTGCCGGTGCGAGTGCTTCAGGTACGGTGCTGTGGACGTCGTCCCTTAGCCCCTGATATCCCTCACTAAGTGATAATGCTTATCTTGGATGCTTGGTAGGCGTGTCATACGTGGAGCTTCCTTACATCCTAGTCTCCTTGGGGATATTGGAAATAGTTGCATGATTGCTCATTCTAGACATGGGAAAATGCAGTAACGCTATCGATTCATTATAGGATCAAATTATTTGTAGGTTGATCAGTCGAGCGATTGTGAGTTAGAGTTATTGCAGATGTCTGCTAACCATGGTTGAGTTCTATATTTCTTTCCTTGATATGCATAAAGTATTTATAATGTTCACAGATGTAAAAGAACTAAAAAATATGCTAGAAAGTGTTGTAACGAAGCAGAGGAAAGCAAAACATTTGAGTGAAAAGAAGAACTTACTGCTTGTTTCAGGTAAATTGAATATTGCACAAATTGCAATTGATTCAATTTTCTCTTAACAGTTTACTATTTTGCCTTCCATCAATGTAAATTTCCACTTTTTCCTCTTTTTGTTTTGTTCATTATTGTATGCCTATTGGGTGTGAAAATATTGGAGTACCAAAATAAAATTGTCAACTGACCTTTGGAATGCTCTGTGGGAGTGAGTCAGGTACCTATTATCTAAAGATATATTGACAGAGCATGAGAATAACAAATGTCTTGAGAATCTTCTATTTTTCCCTTGGTATTTAATAATTTTGACTCACTGCTTGCATAGCGGGTGCAAGTGCCGGTGCAGTGGATGAGGATTCCTTCATGGCTGCATTTGAAGATGTGCCACGTGTCCAGATTGTCACATCCCGTGACCTGGACGAGAACCTGAATCGCATCAGAGAAATAATTGGTGATACCAACAATGATTGGAACAAGCGGCTCGAAGCGGTAAGATAACTCTACTCCAAGAGTGTAGAAAGAGATTGCAATTTGAAGATAAGAAACCAAGTGCCAATCATTCCTCTCTGTCATGAAGCACCCATGCCAACTGAATACCCCAGTAATGAGTAGTGAACCTGGATTCAGTCGCCAGGTAATTTGTCACCCTCAATTTCAATTTAGACACCAGAAAGAATATTTTTTTGCACCAAAATTTCTCCTTGTGATGGAGATTCTTGGCAGGGGTCAGGTGACACTTGTGTATTCATCATGAATCCCCCATGTGAATGGAACTGAATGGAATGAGGGGCTGAAGCCCTGTTTTGGCCTGCCCACTTGGCATCCCTCCTAATCCATTATTCATGCTAGTTGAAGGGATTCCTCTCAGAGAGCAAAGTCGTCAATTTCCATGGAGAAATGATGACTTGAGGTCAATGACAGCTATCAATGGGATGCTACTGTTTGAGTGTTTTTGCCAAGTATGTAGGTGGTAATAGTATGTTGGAGCAGAGCTCTTTAGTAGGCAGGGTATAGGTTTCCTTGGCACTTGCAACCTCCATGTTCTTGCTTTTACCTACATGCCCAATGGAATTCAGTGGAATTTTGCCCACTTTTACCTGCACATACTACACTTTCAACTCTACTTTCATTGCCCTTGTGTGAGGCACTCTAAATTTATGTTCAAGGCTTTCTAAAAGTGTGTCTGAGATTAATATCTACCTCCTCCAGCTATCAGCAAGTTTTCCAGCAGATGGCCAAAATAGTGTTTTAATCTCCACTATACAATGCTATGTTCTCTTAGAAATGTATTGCATGGAGGTGAAAGCACTCTACATTAAAAGTGTGAAGAGGAATTCCAGTGTATTTGTCTTCATGTATTTTGCTTGCATTTTATAGATAGAAGTGACCACTTGGAAACCCTTTTGGAAATTGTTACAGATGAAACGCATGCGTGGAGTGTTACTCTCAGGTGGAGGGAACCCAGAAGACGTGACGGCTCATGTGCGCCTTCTGATACCCTCATTCCAATTGAGTGTGAAGGACTTGAGGTCCCAGGTGGTTCGTGAGGCATGCATCACGATTGCATTCCTTGCCCAGCAGCTTGGTTCCCCGAGGCTAGACCAGTTTGCTGAGGCTCTTCTCCCTCACCTCATCAACCTCATCCCCAACAGTGCCAAGGTGGGTCAAGGTTCTAGTTCCCTTTAATATGGCACACATCCAGGGATGCATTCACTTAAGGAATCCCACGGAATTCCAGGTGATGTCGACGGCAGGTATCGTCGCCATCCGGTTCATTGTGCAGCACGTGCACTCTGCCCGTCTCATTCCCATCATCACCTCCTCTATTGGTGATAGCAAGTCTAAGGAAATTCGCCGATCAATGTGTGAATTTCTTGCCCAAGTTCTGGCAACATGGCCAACGCCTCCTTTGGAACGTCACCTGGGAATCCTTCAAGAGGCTCTGAAAAAGGGCATTGCTGATCCTGATGCTGAAGCCCGAGCATTTGCTCGAAGGTAGCTCAGATCCCTCTGTAGCATGATTAGTGATTGATGAGGGATGAATCATGGTTTATAGCTTCATTGACCCTTTTTATAGGTTTATGAAATGGATTCATGTATTCATTGGTATTGGTTGCAGGGCATATTGGGCCTTTGCTGATCACTTCCGAGAGCAAGCAAATATTCTGTTGAACACGCTGGATGCATCATATAAGCGTGTACTGAAGGGGGAGCTGACTGGAGGAGCAGGAGGAAGTGCATCTCGCCCAGCATCTCGACAGCGATCCCATGGGAATTCCACATCTGGATCCATGGAGAACCTGGCTAAAGCTCCTCAACTCCCCAGGCGATATGGTGCACTCCTCCCCTCACCATACCCCCCTGCAACCTCAGAGACAGGTGAGTGTTCCTGCTTTTCCCTCAACATACCTAGCATGTATCATTTACCTTCATGGTGTTGGCCTTAAATGGTGTAATCTGAATCCTATTCAAGCAAAGCGTCTCTTAGGTGGAGTCTTCTTTTCTTGCACGTTGCCAATAGGGTGTATGTGCATGTATATTGTGTCATGAGAAGTGAAAACTGCATCAGCTTTTGCTAGTTTTCTTCATGTTGCTATATGCACTTTAAAAACTGCTTATTCCATGTATCCCGACAGCTGCTGGGGAAATCCTGTGAATTTACTGCAGCATTTCCTTGGAATTATCATGAAGTATATACTTGTAATTCTTGCTTGCCTGGTTGAGTGCAATGACTTTCTGGATTCACTCTCCAGTTCTCAAACCTAATTGTGGTGATACCACATTACAGGAATGATGAACAACATGAATTATATGAACTCTCTGATGTGGGAATTTTGCATAGATTCTATGTTGGGAGTCACTCTGACATAGGATCTGCTACAAAAAGATTAAATGTCAGGGCTCTATATTGGACAGCAAAAAATGTGTTATCCTAACTCCAAAAAATATTAGTTTTAGTTAATATTTTTCTGTTGTGACTAGCAGGTAATGGTAGTGTAGGCTTTTAAATGAAGTATTCATAAATGCATAGTAGTGGCTGAGCAAGAATCAAAGGTTTTTTCATAAAATTTATATTATTTTCTTTTGCCTTTGAACATCCTTCATCCCATTCCTTGCCAGATTCCCCTCGCATTCCCTATCCGGCACCCTCCCCATCTGTACGTAGCAATAGTACATTGGATTTGCAAGCAGCCCAGCGAGCCAAGGCCAGACAACAGTATTCAGAATGGTCCCGCATGAAAGCCACCACCACTGCCTCCTTCCGTGAGTCGTATATCTCTGCCTCCAAGCTTTGCTGCTTCAGAGCCACTCTGTCTTTTGCAATGTATGGTCATGGATATGAATGTTTAATAATGTTTGACATTGGTTGCATATGGTATGTCATCTCATCTGATGGTTTGCCTGCACAAGTATTTAATTGCTCTGTGAGGCACTTGATCTTGTTTCTTGTTGATGCATCTATTCTGTTCACTTTAATTAAGTTCTTCGAATGGTTTATTTTTGTCTCATCAGGTGGGACTCCTCCGTGTTACCGCACTGCAGACCGGTCGGGCAGGACACGAACCAGAGGTGCTGGGGTGTCGCACTCACAACGTGAGTCCCTTTAACCTGCTGCTTTTCTACTGACAAAAAGAAAATTTGGTTTTTAATGCCTTCCGGTTTTGTTTTTTTTTTCCAGCTGGAAGTCGATCAGGATCTCCATCTTCTCGCCTGACGTATCTGACACCTCTGGCAATTGGAGGGGAGAGTGCCACTTTGGGTCGACCCCCAAGATCTACACAGAGAAAGGGTCCAACTACACGATCAGCGGCCACAAGTCGAGAGACCAGCCCTGGTCCAAGGGTTGGCAGGTCCCGCTCCATTGGAGGGGATTCCATTTCCAAAATTCCTGTTGGACGTTCCCCCATGATGGCACAAAAGATCTTGCTGCAGAGTCGGGAGGCTGAGAATGCTCTGGAGAGTGCTTTGGTAATTTGAAACTAATCTGCATTTTTCATATTCTATTGCTGGTTTTTGAATACATCTTGTGGTTCGTGCTAGCAGCAGCGGTCACCTCGGAGGAGGAACGAGTACAGCATGAGTGCTTTTGATGACCATTCTGATGACAGTGAAACATCTAGCATGTGCTCAGAACGCTCCTTTGACTCATATGCTGCACGGAGAGCATCTGATGTGAGTATCCATTGTCTTTTTTTTATTGATGGTATGGTGTTGCTTGCTTTGCAAGAGCAACTCAGCATTTCCTTGAAGTTTCAATTAAGCACAGCTGATTGTTCCTTCAATTGCACAATGTCATTTTTATTGCTGTTGCAAGGCTTTTAGTTGCTTATTGTGCAATACTGTAGTTGACTGGGCAGATGTCAGTAGGACATATCAAACTTTAAACGAAGACAAGAGCTTACTGTCTGGTTGGCCTACCTCTGTTTAGCAGAGGAATTTATAGTTATTTTCTGTTGGCTTGGATGGAGGTGCAGAGCTTGAGTTTTAATGCTTTGTTTTTCTCCCCTTCCTTCACTCTGTCCATCTCCTTTACCTCTGCTTTTACCCAATTTCTTCCCCCCTCCTGCATTTCCTTCCTCTTTCCTAACTAACTTGCAGCTTTTCTCTTGGGTGACGGCTGCTCAGAGATATAAGGATGTGTCCTACGACCCGTACATCAAGGTAAAAAAGGATTTGAATTCCTGCCTGCTGCCTTGCATGATCTAATTCAATCCTAATACTTTTAATCCTCTTCCAGAGTATCTTATACAACTGCCTTTCCCTTCTCATGTCACTTGCTTGATGATTGATAAATGTTCTGTTATCCAGTCAAAGTTTTAAGCTTTAGAAGACAACTGAAATCCTCTTGATGAAGTCATGCTTCCAGGGAGGATAGAGGTTGCAAATATTGGAATCATGAACACCTGTTTCAAGGGATGTTTTTCATTTGTGATTATGATGTGTCTAACTTGTGATTGTGCTTGAAGTTGTTCTTTGAAGAAAGTGAAAGGGAAGGAAAGGTCAACCTGTGGAGCAACCATAAGTCTTCTATTGTGTGAATTTTATTGATGACTTTCTAACCATTTTAGCCTCAGTTCCTCCTCAACCTGCAATGTTTTCCACAGCTGTGCACATCAGCCCATCCTGAATCTACAATGCGAATGCCTCGCACTGCCTTCATTGTGTTACCAAGTGCCTCTGTACTGCAGGGAATTTGGAAAGCCACAGTGTATCAGAAAATTTTCCCTGCATGGGGTTCACATCTTGTAGTTGAATTGACAATGTTTTGCATGCTGTGTAGTATTGGATTCTGTTATGGAAATAGAAATCACAGTCTGCATGGATGCACCATTCCTTTCTTTGCAGAGAGATGTGGGTGAAATCATTGCCTGTTGTGCATCCACTCACTGGGCAGATCGAAAGGAGGGTCTTCTTGGTCTCCAGCGTCTCCTACGGTCCAATCGCATGCTGACCCATCAAGAACTCAGACGTGTTACAGATGCCTTTGCCAAGATGTTCACTGACCCTCACACCAAAGTGATTTGAAATCCTTATATCTTGATGGTGTTTTGAGCATAGCATATTTATTAACTTTCAAATTTTTTTTCTTTCATGAAGGTGTTCACTCTTTTCTTGGATACACTACAAGAGCTGATTCTTGTGCATAAAGAAGATTTACAGGACTGGCTCTATGTCCTTCTGACCCGGCTCTTTAACAAGCTTGGAGCTGACCTCCTCAATTCCATCCTCTCCAAGATCAACAAAATCCTTGACCTTATTAGGTATCATCGATAAATTATCTGGATTACTTGTTTCTGTTCTATTTATTCATTTTAGGCACTAAAAATGATGGCCACTGTAAAATGCAGATACTCTAAAACATACAGTGAAAGAGATTGTCTGATGAACAGTAGATGCTCCAGGAAAAGTAGAAGTCTAGTTGTTGGGATTTCAACCTAAAAAATCTATTAAGACTCATGTTTGTCATGATATTAAATTCTTAGAACATTGACAATTGTCATATTTGCTTAATATTTTACATCTTATAGCTTGGTTTCTTGGAGTGATTTTCTTATATTCAACTTTGTTGTGAAAAGGTGTCTCAAGAACTTGAGCACTCCCTTGAGACAAATCAGAGAAGTTCACTTGTGGTCCTGTTGCTACAGGAGACAAAGTTCTGTGCAACAGTAGCACAACATGAAATCAATGGATTAGACAACCTCATTATGTTGCACCGATTTTTTCTCCACAGAGACAGTTTCCCAATGAGCCTCCAGCTGAATGTGATAATGCGATTCCTGGCTGATGTGACACAGACTCCCAATTCCAAGGTGAAATTGGCCACCCTTCGATATGCACACCTTCTCCTTGCGTCCATGTCTTCACAAGACTTCCGGTCAGTCTCCACAATTATGAGAAACATGAAATGGAAGCCAGAGTGATTAAATGCATCTGCTGGTGACTTTTGATTACAGGAGCAGTCCAGACATGGAAGCAGCTGTGAAGAAGCTTGTATCTTGGACCCACGACCCAAAATCTCGCGATGTGTCCAGTTCAGCACGTCATGCCCTCTGTTGCATGTTTGACCTAAATCCTGCTGACTTTACATTGCTCATGTCTAGGCTTCCCAAGCAAGAGGAGGTGAGATTCCTTTCCTCTCCAACTTCTTTCTTCATCCCTCTACCTTTACTGATAACATTCTTTTCCATCTGCAGAGTGCAATCAAGTCCATACTTGAGGACTCACCAAGACCAAGAAGAACAACTATGGATAACTCCTATTCGTCTCCAGGCAGCCCCTTCCTCCGCTTCTCATCCCCAATGCACTCTCCAGGAATGGTTAAACCACTGGCCAGACGTGGTCTTTCAATGGATGATACTGATACAGAGAACATGAATCCAGAAGAGGTCTATTCTCGTCTTCAGGCCACTTCCACCCAGATCCAAAATTCATTCAAGGTGTCTGACAATACCTCCCGGGACTCTGGGATCTCCCAAGTCTCTGAAGACGTTGCTAAGTGTGATACGGAGAAGGTATTACATGTCCTGGTTATCTTGTCTCTTCCCTTATGCACAAAGGATTGAGGTAATCATAATTTGTGTTTTGCAGATGGCTGGTGATGCACTACAAAGTCACAGTAGTCAGAGGCATTTTGGGTCCATGCTGTCGGACCAATCAAATGTCCCTGATGGATCTGCTGTTGCATCTGGGGAATATTTAAAAGGTTAGTCTTCTGCTCTGGTTTTGTCATTTGCTAGCTGGGTTTGAATGGCATGGTCTTTTACCTGAGATTCATTCAGATGAACATGAGTTGCTCTGTTGACTTTGAAACCTATAAAAGAATCTCTTTGAGAACAGGAGAAAAGAAACACAGGAGTTACAGAGTATTAATTTCACTGAGCCTTCATTCAAAGCTGAAAGAAGAACCTTTGAACTGGAAAAGATGGAGTATTATAAGTTATTATTGAAAATATCTGAAGAGATCAGGTTCCTAGAAGAAATGGATAGTATTAGTGCTCATGTACCATTTTGAGGCAAGATATTGAAAAGTGACTGAAATTCAAAATGGTAAATATGCTCTTCTTAGGGTATATGTACCATGAATGCTTTCGTGACTCTTTATTTCCTATATCTTTATATTTCGTTATTTCACTATGCTTTCTTTATCTATGCCTCAGGGTTCTCATCTCAGTCCTTTTTGAAGGGCGTGTGAGCTGATGGCTGGGGGATTTCTGGCTTCTCTTTTCTTTTATCATCATTTCAAACATTCACTGATATTTTACTCCATGGGTGTCAGTCTTTAAAAATGTTCCCATGACCTCTTAAGAAATATATTTTCATCGAAAAGTGTGTATCTAGAATCTAACCAGAACATGAAAAGAATCGAACCAGAACAACCTAGATTTACTTTAACTAACTTTACATGTAAAGATGGAACTGTGATCTGGTCAGAATGAATTCCTTGTGACTCATCAACTTTTACCCTTGCCCATAGGGGAGCTTTGCCAGCAATTGATTTACCAATGCATTTTCCATTTTTCCTGCCTCTCCTGCCACATTAATGGTGAATTGACAAGTATCTGTCAATGCAGGTGGAATGACTCGGATCTTGAGCGAACTGAATGACAAGAATCAGCGGCTGACAGGTCTGAAGAAACTGCGGAAGTTGTTGGAAGAACCTGGAACTACCAGTGGGAGTGGGGAGGTGGATGGAGAAACATCATTCCTTGTTTCATCCTTCAAGGGACTACTTCGGCTTCTGCTTGAATGCCTCCAGGACCAAGATATGAGTGTGAGAGTGGAGACATATGCTGTGTTCTTGAGCTTGTTACAACGCCAGGCCCTCATTCACCTGTTCATGTCATACACTGAACTTCTCATTCTGAAAATGCTTGAGGGTCACAAAGATCCCAGCAAAGAGGTCTGATTTTCAGTCTGTACTCCACTAAGGCATAAGGACTCTCCTCTGCTTTTCATGACAGTTTTCTGTATTGCTTTGTAGGTGAGCCACTTGGCAGAGGTATGTGCAGGGACAATTGCAGGACTGTTTCAGGCCGACACTGTGGTCAGGGTGTTGAACCCGCTCATCCAAACTGGAGAATATCCTGTCAATAATGGGGCTCTCAAGATGCTGACCCGTGTGGCAGAGCAGCATGACAAGGAAGCTATCTTCCCTTTCCTTCCAGACGTTATGCCTGGCCTTATTCAGGTGACCTAGCAGTTTGTTTCAAAGCCATTTGGGTATCATATTTGTATTATATTAGAAATGACCAATATAGGATTTTGCCTGTGTTGGTCATTTTACTTCTGCATGAATCCCAGGAAGAAGTCCTAAGGCATGGGGTTGTATCAGAGATTAGACATTTCAAAAGTTATCTGGAACATAGGATATGGTAATGATTGTTTAATTGAACCTGTTTTATTCTAAACGTTTGTCATATATGTTTCAGGCATATGACAATGAAGAGAGCAGTGTGAGGAAGTCAGCAGTGTTCTGCTTGGTGGCACTGCATTACAGTGTGGGTCAGGATGTGCTTCAGCCTTACCTGGCAGCATTGAACGTTTCCAAACGCAAACTACTTAATCTTTACATTCGGCGGAAACAAATCCTCAACTCCAAACAGAACAGTGAAAGTTCCAGCCCAAGAGCAAGCCCTGCTAATAGCCAATGAGACTTGAAGCAATGCAAGACAAGGAAAAGGACTGATAACTATTAATCATGTCTTATGATTCTGTTCCATTGACTTTTTTCCTTCAGTTTTCGTTAACTCCCTCAGTGACAGCCTCTTAAGACTGCAGGAGAAAGAGGGGTGAAAATTATATGAAAGGCTGGCTTGACACTCAAATGGAAAATAGCAAGTGCTTTTGATGGCTGCTTTCTGCATCAACTTATATATTTTGTTTCATCTTTCTTCACGTGCCATAATATTTTGTTGACAATTTTCTTTCCATTAAGGCGAGGGATTCAGTATTTTTTTTTTATTGCCAGGGGAAAAGAACACTGATACTGGTGGAATGGAGAAACTAGTCAACTCCAAACTAATCCTAATGTGATTTCAAGGAGATGGATTTGGAACGTTCTCCTTTTGAGCGATTTTGTTTTGTCAAGTCAGGGACTGCTGCAGTTTTACATTTCTCCCATCCCATCATTGGCAAATGGTTTTTTTTACTGACACATCAACTAATGAAGTTGTGTCTGAAGGACTTGCTTGTTCAACGCTTTGGCTCTGCTTCAACATTCAATCCATGTCCCCAGGCTGGGAACAGAGTGTTGCATTGTTCCATCCATCCTAATCTTTTTGATGCCATGCTGTTACTGTTCTCCTCAGTGAATCATCAGCTTTCAAGTGTACTTATTTTCAACTGCACACACCTATTTCTCAAAGTCCCATGTGTAAACAAGTTTGTAGAGGCAAATAAAAGAAATAGCTCCTTTATTTACACCTTTTGTGCCTTGTCTTTGTATTTGGATAATACTTCCCTCCAAACCAGAATGCTTTATTTTATTCATGGTTATATGCAGGTGGACCACTGAAGGAGATTGCAATTCCCCATCCCATGAGTCAAATTCAATTCAGATTTGCACTTGACACACACTCAAATCCATCACATAGAACACTGCTGTGGTTTTCAGATTCCAAGTTCAGACTCCTTCTTTGACATGTAATCATCAAGTTCCCGGTCCAAGTCATCTTTGTTCACATTGCTTTGCCTTTGTGTGCCCCACGATTGAGTTGTCCTTCCACCTCGCCCTCGTCGAAAACCCCTGTAATGAGAAAGGTAAAAATGTATCTACCTTCTGGAATGTAACTTTGGCTGCTGCAAGTGTTTGTCATAATATATAGTACATACCTGAACCACCCCCTGCTCATGGCAGGTCCTAGAAAATAAAAGAAACAATGTTATGAAATAATTGTAAATTCAATCATGAAGAACTTTAATTTTCAGCTCACTCCTATTCAAAGGTGAGGTGAAGGACGTGTTGAAGCTGCGATAACTGGATGCCCGCCGCACACCAAAGCCTCGACGCATTGATCGTGTATTGGACAGGTAACGACCACCTATGAAGAAAAAATTCATAAGAAAAAAAGCAAAATGGAGGATTGAAAGTAATCGAAAAAAGATTTGTTAGAATTGACCACCTCTTTCAAACCTCAATCTGTTCCTGTATGGGATGCCAAGCCTTCCACGAACTCCAAGTCTTTGGCGGATTGACCCCTGCAATGATGAAAAGGAAAACATTTACATTACCTTGATTGATTGCTATTAAAGTAGATGCCACTTATTGTATACACTCAGTGACATTCACCTAGATATCCTGATCAAATTTCATATTTCAGATATACTTTCTCCCTGCTTGTTATCAGAATCACTGTATATAACAAAATATAATAAAAGAATTCTATCTTGGCAGTAGCTGAATCACATGGAGGGGAAGTCTCTCCCTGGTGCTGAGGGAGTCAACTCTTCCAAGCTTTAACACTTACACTGGTATCCCCCAAAAAATTATTGGGCTGACCTTTGCTCAAGGTAAACTTGTACTTCAAAACTCACCAATGAAAGGGTTAACAATAGAGCTGGAAACAGCCTTGATTAATATTGAAATATGTTTACAGTGTTTTCCACTTCATGGTGAGTTAGGCACTTTTTCACCTTACTCAGATACCCAAGAATGAATAACACTTCATGCACCACAAGTAAGTTTAAAAATACTAACAACCTAGAGACTCTGATTGAGCTCCTAATAACCACTATCCACATTGAGGTGGCATTCAATGACTGCTTCTTCCTGTACAGCATTTTTAGGTAATGGAGAAACTAGAGTGTCCTGTTGATCCCTGCCTATTTTTCCAGCCATAATCAAATACCCTTCTGAAAATTCAGTCAAAATAGGTGGTACCTGCTGCATATGCACTTTGGAATACTCACCTGCTTCAGTTGAAGAGCAGCCAGCATTGCTTGTTGTTGGGCAAGATGCTGGACAAATTGTACATTGTCTGGAGAAGGTCCAAGCTGCATCGGGAGTCTCTGTCGTGGTACGGGGGGTTGGACTTGCAATTTCGCCAGCTGACTGAACCTGCACGCAATCCATAAGACTGAGTAGTTGATCTTGGCAACATTAGAAGCCTTGCAGACCAACATATGCAAACTCACCTTTCGTGCAAGGGCACACCTGTGCTGGCATTTTTTAATGTAATCTTGCCAATTTTCATTTCTACTGAAGGCAGGATGAAGTTTTGTTTGCTGTCTGGAGTAGTTACTTCCAAGAGCCACTTCAAAGGGTGACAGAAGTTCACTTAATCTAGATAATGTAGAAGAGAAAACATGGACTTCGCTCTTATTCTATGTTGGACCTCCATTAGCTATGCCTACGGATCTCATGAAATAACTTGAATTTTCGGGAAAAGAACTAATTTACCACGGAATAGAGTTGTTTTAGACGTGCCAAAAAAACAACACCCGGCTAGGCTAGACCAAATATCTACGTGAGCCTCGGAAGGGGGCGGCTGCAGAGGTGAACCAGTGACCCCCCTCCAAGAGACGCCAATGGCACACCTATGTTCACTGAAACACCAATCTGTAAATGCCTTGAATATGAAGGAAACACTGCCGGCAGAGGCCTACGTTAGGTCTCACCACATGCTTGTAGCGACAGCGATGGGACATCGTCCACAGCTGACAGGGCTGCCGGACAATCCATCCTTATTCCACTAATGACGACTAACTTTCCCGTTCCTTGAGATAAAAAATGGCTGAAAAAAAGTAAATCGCAAACTTCTAAAAGTGAAAAAGTCTTACCTTTCCTAAGTGTTCTGTATGTATTGGAAATTTTCGGTGAAATCCCCCATAGCTGATGAAAAGACCCTGTAACATCCTATACTTGAATATGGCATCCCCCATGAACCACGCAACTCACGTGCTGGATGTAGACACCCGCGCCCAGAACTCCTTGTGAAGGATGTAACATTTTCTTTCCCTCGCCTTCTTGGAGATATTGTGTTCATCATCCTCATTGACGATCATAAAGATGTCGGTATTCCGACCTGGACTTTTTGCTGGAAAAGTTGCCATCGTCACGGGAGGAGCAACAGGCATCGGGAGAGCCATTTCGGAGGAGCTACTTTCATTAGGTTCCTTTCTGCTGAATGTAGGCCTTTTAGATGTCATTATATAGTGAGTCGCAATATTCATCGGTGTGTTTTTTTTTGCGGGATTTTAGGCTGTCGAGTGGTGATTGCCTCCAGGAAGAAAGAGAGGCTGGAGGAAGCTGTGAAAGAAATGGACCCAAGTGGAAAGAGCTTGGAGGCTATCCAGTGCAATATCAGGCGTGAAGATGAAGTCCAGTTGGTGGTCTTTGCATCCCTTCATCTTTGTGATTTTCAGAGCTTCAAATGACAGCTTTACCTTGAATATCCTATGATTTTTGGTTGAGTTAACTTGCCGTTAGTGTTAGGTCCATAATTTCCTATGAGCCTATCAACAGAAAGGAAAATTAAGACTGCTTCTTTTATCTGATGCAAACTGTTTTCATGTGTGCTGTTCTTGCAAGTGTTGCCACTCTCATGATTCAGGAAAAAGTGGTAGTTCTGTGTGATATAGCTGTATGTGGGCTATATGCTTGGTAAAATTTCATGTGCCTCTCCTCTTTATTGTCAGAAACCTCTTCACAAAGACCCTGTCCAGATTCGGACACTTGGATTTCCTGGTGAACAACGGTGGCGGGCAGTTTCCATCTCCCTTGGCCGACGTGACCTTGAAGGGGTGGGAGGCTGTGATTCAGACCAATCTCACGGGAACCTTCCTCATGTGCCGTGAAGGTGAAGCCGCTTTCTCATGATTAGAGACTTGAAAATGTGCTGAAATTTTATTCATATTTACTGAACGGAGCACTAAAGCTGGGGTTTTGATGGTTCCTTGAAGCATACAGAACTTGGTTCCAGGAGAACGGCGGAAATATTGTGAATATAATCGCTGACATGTATCGTGGCTTTCCCATGATGGCACACACGGGTGCTGCTCGTGCCGGAGTGGAAAACCTCACCAGGGTAAACATCATTACCTTTGTTGATATTTTATAGTTTCCAGGAAAATTAGCCCAAAAAGGTGCTACTTGAGATGAAGCTACTTATTAAGCTTCTGTGCAGTAAATACTTGTTTTACATAGAAATTACAAATGAGCAGGTAATCGCAGTGATGTCTAAAGTGACAAGTGGACAGATTCAAGCCCGTGAACATAATCATTTCTCTTCTCACTCTCCATCAACCAGCAGGCCATGCAGTTGCTTGATATTAGGTTTTCCATAATGTAGGCCTTTTTTTTCTAAGGAAGCAGAAGTAAGTCTACATATCAATTTTTATTTTTATTTGGGCCATGCTCCTGTTGTCATTTTTGAGCTATTGGTATCCTCCTAAATAAATTATTCTGCGTGCGGTTTTCAAGCCTTTTGCTCCCCTTTTCTTTAGAGCCTGGCAATTGAATGGGCAGCATCTGGAGTTAGAGTGAATGCAGTCTGCCCAGGAAGCTCCATCTACTCGAAAACGGCTCGGGAGAACTACGGGGAAAACGACGTCTTTGAGACCGTCCGTCCCTTCGTTCCTGCCAAACGCCTAGGAACTCCACAAGAGGTACGTGATGCTTGACCCTGCATTCATTGGTTCATTGGCTGGTGACTTTAAATGCACTACCAGGATAGAAAGAAGTTGGGTGTTATTTTTTCAACATTATTAGTGGATTTTCTGGAATTCTTCCCAGGTTTCCTCGGCCGTCTGCTTTCTGCTCTCTCCGGGAGCAGCTTTCATTTCTGGGGCCACTCTGCGCGTGGATGCAGGCGGCAGCCTTTACTCTAACCTCATGTGGAATATCCCTGGTCAGTACCTTCTAGTACCTTTTGTTGGAACTATTTTTGGTCTCCCATTTAATGGTGGGACTTTGCAAGTTTAGCGCTCGAGTATCTCTTGTTTTCTTTTCAGAACACGATCGTATTCCTCCTTACGAATGGAAGTACAAACCGCCGCAGGAAGGAGAAAATGAAGGTGATTCTGGAAAGCCGAAGTCAAAACTGTGATTTCACCGTATGTTTCACTCAACAAACTTCTTTTGCAGTGACTCAGGACTGCTCAATTACATGCCATATTATTCCTTCATATTCCTTTCTCCTCTTTGGCTGTGGACCTATTTTTGCCAAGGGTATTGTTAGAGTCATGTCGCTGCGATCCAGCTTCGGACATGCGTTTTACGCCTCTGAGTGCTTCTGTGGGCCCCTGTGTGTGTGTGAGACAGTGTCTCATGTTGTTGATTGTTGAAAACCTGTTGACATTCTCCTGTATTTAAAAATAATTATCTCTATAAAATTGGATATATCAAATATGGCATTATTTATTCAATGCAAGTGGGTGGTGTGACTAGTGCCATCAGGTAGAAAAGTCTATCTTGTCAGCAGTTCTTAGCATGTTATGATTTATGAAAAATCACTCAAGGAGTCTCGCCTCACTCTCAAATTTTTCCGTCATCTTGAGTTGTTCTTGCTTTTGAGGAAGACCCTAAATCATTCTGCTGTTAAAGATCCTCCTTTGGTTGAACACTTCATGTTATATTTTGCACGAAAGTGGAGTCGCATGGATGCATCCCCTAAGGGTCGGCCGTGTGAACTTCTCGCTCGAGGCACCAAGTCGAAATGCATTTAGTATTGTCAGCCGTTCCACCCGTAGTCCCTGTGTATTGCTATGAAACGGCCAGATGTAATGCCTGAAAAATGAAACAATTTCTGGGGGATGGAAGAAATTGAATGCATAGTGAAGTGTCACATTCACCTGAAGCTCAACTTGTCAAAATGACAAAATATGACATTAGCGTTAGGTTGTTCTTAAAATCATCTGCTGCATCTCTGCTTCTAAAAATGTAGAAATTTTTTTTGGCTATAACATTTAGGCATCGTTTGCTTCACCTGATACATGTGATTATTCGAGCGATTTTCAACCCCAAATGAATATGCCAAAGCAATAAATGAAAGAACCAAGGAGTGTAGCAAAGCCTGACTTGCTTTCTTGATGATTGCAAGACACGAGTGATCGGTAGGCCAAGATCTCATTAAGAAAATTTTATGAACACATGGTTCCAGTCTTCCTAGAATGAGACAATGGCGCTGCTGATATGTCTCGATCACTCCACTAAGGCGCTTAATCTTGTGACCTTAACCGCAAAAAAATTTATAAAAAGCCTTAATTAAATTATTCGAGGATAATTGCGTGGAATTGGGAAATCACGTGACTCGTGCAAGGTCATCAGGTCTCCACCTATGACTTCCAAGCCCATTCGGAACGACAGCGACAACTGGCGGCAACTCGAAGCAGCACTATCGCTAAATGGAACAAATTATCTTAAATGCGCAAAGTGACAGTTGCTTATGGATTACTTATGGTATGGTATATATATGATATGGGTAGGGCCACCTTGTGCTGTGCAAACTGATGCATCTCGCAAGCACTTAGCAAGAGAGTAGCTCAAGTATGAGAATTAAGAAGCGTTTACCTTTCGTGTTTGCTAAAGGTCAACATGACGGCATAAGTGGGGAATGTGGGCGTTGAGCCCCGCGCCGACCCGGCCGCCCCTCGCGTGAGAATGGACTGGTCCACTTTTTCCTGACCGGTAAGTCGTTTCATTCCTCCAGTCGATCGGCAGCCTCCGAGTCTGGAAATGCCGCCGGACTTTCCGGACCGAAAATAAAATTGGTCTCGAACGATGAGTGCATTGCGCTCGCAAGCTCTCGAATGAGGTTAGAGGTCGGAATTCGCCGAGAATGAGGCCGATACTTGGAAAGAAGAAGCGAAAACTTGCAATATGAAAAAGAAGAATAAAAGTTCCCTCGCATGGGTTCGAACTCAGGAATAGTAAGTGCGATGCGGATGCGGTGCCTCTCGGCTACGGGGGAGGACAGACCCGGCATGCACAAAAAGTGGATATCTCAACGTATCGGGGAGGAGACGGACGAGTCCATCACATTTTGAGGGGAGGTCATATGGACGGAGGGAGGCCGGGCGTGAAGGTCAAATGGAGGTGAATGGGGCCAGGCCCGTGACGTCGTCGAACGACGAAAATCTCGCCTCCTGCTGCCTTCTCTGAACCAGGAAAAATGTGGAGGTTCAAGGTCGAATTCAGTGACGTCATCTCCCAGCCGACCTCCCCCCGGTTCTTCCACTCTGTGGACTCTCCCGCCACCCGACCACCCCCTACGTCCGGAGAATGGACTCGTCCACCTGGAAATTCTGGATTTCTTCGATGCTCGATTCCTCAGGCTCTTCGAAACTGCGAGGAATATCTTATTTCATATGCAGTCAAATTTGAAATTAAATTTGTATTTGAGCCGTTTTCTGCTCTGCTTTTTCAAATTTATTGTAACTTCTTCCCCGCCTTTTAAGATTTAATTTTACGCGATGTTAGTTGCATTGCTCAGGCGTCTACTGATTCTGATTTCGATTTGTTTTTTTTTTCCGACACCAGGGGGAAAATAAAAAGTCGAGGAGGAAACCGGGGAAAATATTGAAATATTTTATTGACTGGTCGGAAATAATTTCATTCCGCGAAGACCACAAGAAGGAGTCTTCAGTCTCCTAAATTCTGCCATTTCAGCAGCTGAAACCGCGGGAGCCTGTCACGAGGGAACAGAAACAAGCAACCAGAAACAGAAACACAGTCGAGATGGAAGATCGAACTGGAAATGGGGCAGGGATGGGCTGCCGATACGAGTTCCACGGAATTTTTTTTTTTTTTTTTGAAGATCAACAGGGAAGCAGAAAAAGTTTACAAGGTTGAAATCGGGGAGAATCAGGACTTGATCCAGAACCTGATCCTCGTGGACTGCATCGACCGATCTCCTCGGCCGTGAGGGGGCGTTCGTGTTTCTCGCGCCAAGGAGAGGAAATGCAGACTCGGTGCGACGTCTCGCGAGTCCCACGTGGAAACTGGAACGTTCAAACATCTTGGCATTGATTCTTTTTTTTTTTTTTGCAATGCCAACAAACAGCAGGAAAAGTGCATACTTCCTGAAACCCTTCAAAACAGACGAGAATCCACCAGTGAAGCGATTTGGGTCCATCCTCGAGCACAAATCCGACGTAAAAGAACGCCGCGGTGCCTGCCTGAAAAAAAAAAAGCCATGCCAACAGAGACGAAAGAGAAACCCGACGCCCGAGTCCGTGGAAAACTTGCTCAGCAGGCAGATTCCCAGCTCGCCCTCGGAAAAGCCTCAAGGCTTTCCCAATCTCGTTCCTCCACCTACTCCACCTCCTCCACCTACTCCACCTCCTCCACCTACTCCACCTCCCCTGGCATTCATGCGTATTTAAAGAGTCGATCAGTACAATTGAAGAGAATCGATATACTGAATCTCCTATTCCTTTACGTTCTTCAGAACTCTAGGGTGGACTCCTCCACCTACTCCCCCTCCTCCACCTACTCCACCTCCTCCACCTACTCCACCTCCTCCACCTACTCCACCTCCTCCACCTACTCCACCTCCTCCACCTACTCCACCTCCTCCACCTACTCCACCTCCTCCACCTACTCCACCTCCTCCACCTCCTCCATCGAAAGTTGGACCACTCGACTCATTCGGGAAATCTCAACCTTGAAGGGGAAAAAAAATAAAGGCAGCGTTTCCTGGGGAATGCGTTTCCCTCACTTTCCTCAGTTTTCAGCCGCTTCTGAGAAACAGTTTGGACTAAGAGACAGGCTCTCGGCGACTTCTTGCAGTGCAAGCCATTTTCACGAAAACGATCCGGCAAGCGTGGATTTACATAGATTAAGAGGGCCGAACTGAGAAAAATAGATCCATTAATTGCAAGGCTTACGAACCTCTTTTTTTTTCATCAGTTCCAAATTTGAGGAACGAGCTTTAGAACACACGAAGCCAGCCGTCGCGGAAAAAAATCTCATATATATATATATATATATATATAACCGGCTAAAAGAGGCTTCAACGGCATGTTCACGTAAACGAGATATCAATTTTTGCAAACAACGTAAATTTCTTGCGATTGCCATGAAAATGACATCACGTTTACGTAACATTTACGTTCCTATATTTACGTCACCAAAGTGTACG